CTCAATCTCCTGACCTCGTGATCCACCCGCCTCGGCCTCCCAAAGTCCTGGGATTACAGGCGTGAGCCACCGCGCCTGGCCACGACCTTCATTTTCAACTTTATGTTACATTATTGTTCTCTTGTTCTTTCTGTTCCAACCAAAATGGCCTCCTTTCAGTTCCTTGAAGATGCAAGGATTACTCCAACCTTAAGACCTTAACAAATGCTGTTTCACATGTCCTGAAAGCTTTTCTCCATGCACTTCCCCTTCACAGGGCTAGTTATTTATCCTCCAACTCTTGGCTTAAATATTACTGCCTTATGGATTCCCCTAACCCCTTAGCCTGGAAGAGGATCTACTAATAGATACTTATATAGCATTCTCCAGTGATCTTTTCTAATATCTTACAGAGTTGTGATTAAATGATCTAAGGTAAATGGAAAATTATGCACTTAATTCCTTTCTTCTATGTTATTATGTAAATTCCATGAAACATGACCATCTCCCTTATTCCTTAATATATTCAATGCACCCAGCATGATGTTTAGCAAACATTAGGCATACAACTAATATTTTTACCATAACCAACACCATCAGCATAACAGCACCAGCGATCTTTCTGTAAGCTTTTGCAAAATTGGATGAATCACATGGTAAGGTACATGTGACTTGCATACACCTATTCAACCTGTGTTTCTTTCTCATTGTATCTAGATTCATAGCAGCCTCACAGTACCATCTTGTAGCATGAGCCACACTGGAGTCTTGATTCTTTTTAGATGAAACCAAATTCCAATCCAAACCTTCTCTTCATTCCTCATATAAAATCTTCGTAAAGTGATTTACTCACCTTTTTACTTTCATTAATCCAAGTTCATGTGCCGTAGAGAAATCTCCAGCTCTATAGGCTGTATTAGAGAATCATTTTCTGGGATACCACAGACAGAACATGACATCTTATCTCATTGGATTATAACTATTTCCCCCCACTAATAGCATTCATGTATACTTATTGAGAACTTTATGTGTTGACTAACTTCATAAACTCATTTAAATTTTACAATTACATTATGATACAGATTCATATTTTACATATCAAAATGAAGCCACTCTGAGATAAATAACTTATCTACAGTCACAAAACACCCAACTGACAACACTAGCATTTGAACCTAAGTACTCTTAACTAATATGCTGTATGGCCACAATGGGGCATTCAGAGGGTAAGTGCCTTTGTTCCTCACGCTCCAAGGATTCTCTTAATGCTGAAGGGGTCTGACATGCTTAGGTACTCAACAAATAGTTACTGGATGAAAGAATGAGCCTCCTTTGTGATTTAGCATTTCTTGGATCTTCAGGTTAAACTAAGATCCTCAGTATTAAATGAATTTACCGTGAATAAGCCAATAAGAGGAAGGAAAAAACTGTAAGGCTTTTCACAGTGATGTCACCAACCCAAAATAATACAGTCTTGGATTTGGGAGTTAGACTATATGAGTTTTACCTCCTGTTCTTTGACTTACTAGTGGTGTTATCCTAGACAAGTTACTTAATCTGTTCTTTGCACCTCAGTGTCTTCAGCTGTAAAATAAGAATAATGTTTTACCTATATCATTGGCTTGCTGATATGCTACAAAGTTAAATAGATAAATGAGTAAATATCCTTTCAAGTTTACTGAGCACGTTAGACACCATCAAAAAACAGCAAGGTGTTTGTCAAAGGGTACAAAGTTTCAGTTAAACAAGAATAAGTCCTAAACATCTACTGTACAAAATAGTGCCTATAAGAATTATTGAATATTTTTAAATGTGCCAAGAGAGTAGATCTTATCATAAGTGTTCTCATCACCATAAGTAAATAAATAGAGTGGGAGAGAACTTTTAGAGGTGATGCATATGTTTATGATATGGAATGGACTGTGGTGATGGTTTCATGGCTGTATACTTATCTTCAAACTCATCAACTTGTAGGCATTAAATATGCAGAATATTTTGTATATCAATTACATCTTAATAAAGTAAAAAAAAAAAGAGAAATGTTATTATTTGTATTAGTTAGCTGCCATTAAAATAAGCATCAGAGATTTTAAATGACAGGTCTAACTGGCCCAGATAAATGAAGAGATCAGGTGAAATTAGTAGTACTGATATCAGCCCTTACATATATAAAGTGTTCTGCTATTTCATTTCAGATTAGTTACCTGATATCGTCCTTGACAACAGAGAAAACATTCTGGTTAACACAGCCTTCTGGTGAAGAGGAAGCTAGGGAGTGAAACTATGATTGTTCCCACTGCATACTGAATTTCCTGAGTGCCGGGGAAGATGAGCCTCTGGGGCCCCATCGGTAGTGATGGTGGACACTTTGCAGCCAACAGTCACAGCTGAAGAAAATGGCTCTGACAGGAAAGAGAAACACTTATCCCTTGAGATGAGCACGAAGGTGCACTTGGAAAGCACCTCAGAGGGGAACCAGCAGGCACCAACACTCCAACTGCTCCCTTTGAGGCTCACCTCCTTGAAGCTCTCAGATAACTCTTAGTTGCTGGCATTCATCTAAAAATCTGTCCTCTTTCTGTCTCAGTTTATTACAAACCTAATTTTTTCTTTAGAAAAGTAGAAAATTCATTTTCCCAAATCTCACTAACCAGATACTAACAAAATTTCTGATAATCTTTCAAAATACTTGTTCTATACAAAAGTACAAATATTTAGCAATGACATGATATGCTAGTGTTTTATCCAAAACAAAAGTCAGCATCTATAATGCTATTTGATAATATGTACTTTATTTGAAAATATTCTTTTACATGGTTTATACAATCCTTTCAGCTATCCTGAGCTAGAAATCCATTCTGGCAGGACATGTTCTATTTTAACTAATACAGTTTGTTTTTATATTCACATTTTAACACTTGGGAGGTCTACTATATTTCTGTTCTCATTGTATGACTTTTTTAAAGCTTTTGAGGGCAGACAGTCTCATTTGTATAAGAATTTCAAGCTAACTTTAAAATTATTTTGTTGAGCAATGGGGAAAGGATTCCCTATTTAATAAATGGTGTTAGGAAAACCGGCTAGCCATATGCAGAAAGCTCTAATTGGATCCCTTCCTTACACCTTATACAAAAATTAACTCACGGTGGGTTAAAAACTTTTCAGTATTTCAGAAATTAATAGTTTCATATTGTTCTATCATATTTGGCAAGTTTTATCAATTTTCAGTAATATTTACATTTAAGCCTTTGTGTTTTCTTGATCCATAATATTATTTGTGAATAATGACAAAATGGTCACATTAATTTATCCATTCTATAAGTATTTATTGAAATTTAATATGTAATCTTACAATGCTAAATTCTAAAAGATAAAAATCTGGTTACTATAAAAGTTTTTTTTTTAATTGAGTACGTATTATATGCTAACCAGTATATCAACCATCTTACATACATTATCTTGAGACTTTATAAAAACCCAACAATCTAGTCATTTTAAAAAATCAATTTTAGAAATGATTGAGTCTCAGAGATTTTGGAATTTTCCAAGGCCATGATATGCCTTTAAAAAAATTTGCACTTATTCTAATATTAACAAAATAATTCATTATTTCAAGAAGCTTGTAATTCAAATAAACAGCTATATGCAGTAAACAGAAAAGGACAGAATGGTTTCTAAATGCTGTATTATAATTCTACACAAAAAATAAAGCATAAAAATAATAGAATATATGTTTTATCACTTTTTGAGGGAGGAGAAGCAGGTAGGTAGAGGGCTCATAGCAAATGAAGGGCTGGAAATGTTTCATAGAGTGGATAACCCAAAAGCTGAGTCAGTGCCTGGCCCAGGGTATCTGTTTAATAAATATTATTTTAATGAATAAATAGATTGATGTACAGTTTTTAGGCACATGAGTGTGGAGAAGAATTTCTAAACAGAGGCTATTAGAACAAAACTACAGAAGCATAAAGCAGCCTGTTGGTTCAGGATCCACATGTAGTTTAGTATAGCTAGAGCAAATTATTTTGGGGTGGGAAAAATGATTAAGAATAATAAGGCATAAAAGACACTTGCTGTGATGATAATATTAAGAGATGTGCTAAGGGACTTGATTTTTAGGCAATGAGAAACTAAAGGGTATGACACATTTTATAATCAGATAGACTCTTTAGAAGATCTCTATAGTTGTGGCATGGAAAAAGGAGAAAAGGGAATGGTAAATAATGAGATCAGTTTGGAAGACAATGCCATGTGAAGTGACAGGAGATAATGAAGGCCCCAAATAAAGTAGCAACAGTGGTGATATAGACACAGAGACAGGATAAGTCAAAGTCTAATCAGACTTGTCAGGATTTAGTGTTCAATCACAGATAAAGGGATAAGGTAAAATAGCTCCTCCTGTCTCAAGTTTTACTACATTGGTCAAGGATTCCTACAAGTAAATGATAAATAATTATAGTTTTAAAAAGTAGAGACAAATTATTTTATTTTAACCATAAAGTATATGATCTGACAAGTTAAGAAAATACACCAAAAAAATTGCTTTATTTTTACATAAAACACATTTTTGTTTCATTTCATCTTTTCTGAAGCCTATTGCCAACATAGTTTTTATTATTTCAGTCATTAATGTGATGAGTTGTATTAAAGAATTTCTTTTGGCAGGGCACAGTGGCTCACACCTGTAATCCCAGGACTTTGGGAGGCTGAGGCCGGTGGATCATGAGGTCAGGAGATCGAGACCATCCTGGCTAACATGGTGAAACCCCATCTCTACTAAAAATACAAAAAATTAGCCAGGCATGGTGGCGGGTGCCTGTAGTCCCAGCTACTCGGGAGGCTGAGGCAGGAGAATGATGTGAACCCGGGAGGCAGAGCTTGCAGTGAGCTGAGATTGTGCCACTGCACTGCGGCCTGGGCGACAGAGCGAGACTCCATCTCAAAAAAAAGAAAAAAGAATTTCTTCTAAAAAATAGTAATTAATTTAATCCTACACGTATATATATATGCATATACAAACATACATATATATGTACATCTCTCTCTAAATATATATATATGTATTTCATGTTTGACCAAATAGTCTTCCTACTTTATTATTTTCTTAATTCTCTGTTACTATACACACAGACATACAATATAAATTATCCTACAAACTTCACCAACTTTTAATATTAATTTTAAATAATTTAATATAATTTACATGCAATTACACTTATATCATTTTTAAACACTAAGTGGATGGTGCATGTTATATGAAATAAACAGTGGCATGCATAGTTATTGGGTTGTGGGGGGTGTGTGTGTGTGTGTATGTGTGTGTGTGATTTTAACTAATATCTCTTTGACATAATACTTGGCAAAAGAATCCTTTCCCCCATTACGACAGTGTCTCCATGGTAATCAGTAATTTCCTTTCTGATGATTCACATTAAACAAAAGATAATAGCAACATATTGTGACAAGATGAAGGATTAATTATGAGAATGCATATTCTTGGATTTAAAAAGAAGGAAATTGAGCAAACACTTTTTAAAAAAAATTATAGCCCAATTTAACTTGGCAAAACCTGTTAGGTTTAGACTTAACTGTTGCCAGGATGCAACAACTGATAGCTGGAATCCTAATGGAAGGTCAGTGCCCTGAAGGATATTTAAAATGCCCTGTTGAAGCAGGTCTTGAAAACTCAAATTTGCGGAGTAAGGATAAACATCCTCTGAATCTCTTCTTTTCAACAAGTCTCCTGCTCAAATCCTGGTTGCCAGTAGTATTTTGCAAAGCCTCTGACGACTCTGTTTGGTTTTAATGGAATAGATGACAGGGTTGAGCATCGGAGGCACAAAGAGATAGATAAGGAACATGAGTGTGTGTACATACCATGGGGCATGCCTCCCATACCGAGCAGCCATAGACACACACACCATGGGCACATAGAAGATGAGCGCAGCACACATGTGTGACACACAGGTGTTAAGAGTCTTTAATCGCTCCTCCCGGGAGGCTATGGCAAGTACAGAGCAGAGTATGAGCACATAGGAGAGGAGGATGAGGGCAGAATCCAGGCCAAAGGTAAAGATGACGATGAATAGACCATACATACAATTGATGGTGATGTCACCACAGGGCTGGCAGATCAGATTTGGATGCAGGCAGTAGGCATGGGAGAAGACATTGGCCTTGCAGAAGGGTAATCTCTTCAGAAGGAAAGGTAGTGGGAAAACCATGCAGAAACTGCGGATAATAATGGACATGCCCATATGCACCACACGGGCATCAGTGAGCACTGTGGCATAGCGCAGCGGGATACAGATGGCCACATAGCGGTCGAAGCTCATGGCCAGCAGGATGCCAGACTCCACAAAGGAAAAGAGACAGATAAAGAACATTTGAGCCAGCAAGAATAAAAGTTGATCTCCCTTAAGTGGAAGGAAAATGTGGCCAGAACCGTGGGTAGTGTGGGAAAAGACACACCTAGATCATTAACTGAGAGCAAGGATAGGAAGTAGTACATGGGCTGGTGCAAGCTCCACTCCTTCTTGATAATGAAAAGGATACGGGCATTGCCCACAATGGAGACAATGTAGAGAGCACCAAGGAGCAAAAAAGACCAGTGTTGAGAGGTCTCCAGCCCAGGGAGTCCTGTCAAGATGAAATGAGGAAACCCTGAGCTGTTGTGGGAATTACCTCTCATGCTGGAACTCCTGCTTAGATTCTAGGGCCACTATCCTGTAAAGAAGACAAATATACAGTTTTATCCATGGTTTCTGCCTAACATTTTAAGACCCTCACATACTATCAAGTCCCATAATTTATTGCATTAATACATTAGTTCACCAGACTATTTATCCTTGCCTCTCCTTCTTACCAAGATTTCATGAATGGCCTGGGTTGTCTCAGCTTATCTGGCTGGCAAGACAGGTCCATTTGCCCTCCTTTTCACCTGCCTCTATTGGGCTCTTTGTCACATTTAAAGCTTTGAACTCTTCAATTCATGGGTATCAATTTGTTCAAGACCTAAGACAAAAACTCTTCTTTCCAATTACTACTTTTTCAACAATTATGCTCTCTTCCTGAGGAAATCACTTATTCACAAACAATAACAATTTCCTCTTTGCATTCTTTCATGTTAACGAACTTCCACTACTCTCAGTTTCCCTGCTCCTATACAGTCTCTCAGTTAAATTATTTTATCCATTCATCTGGACAAAAGATAAATGGACAGGGAAATGTTGATTCATGGAGATAATCTTCTAGACATTCATCAAGGTGCATTAGACTTTTATATTACCATCCACTTTTTCATTCTTTTATCCATTTAGCTTGAGGCATCACTTTGCTCTCTGACTAATTTAATTTGATTAAAGTAAGTTTTTAATAATTTATTTTATAACCAAATCGTTTCTAGCTTCTAAATGCCATGGGGTTAATAATCATTTCTCTACACCACAGAATTGCTTTTCATCTGTGTTCACTATCTCTTTGAACAATATCATCATTGTGCCCAAGATTGAGATTTTAAATCTAAATGTAACTTTGATTTCTTCTTTTGCTTTACCTACTACATTAAACCAAGTAAGACCTGATGAAAAGACCAAATCCCAAGTGCCTCTGTCAGCACCTTCCTCCATTTCACTCCACCTGCAGTTCCACTCTTTAGACTCAAGATATCACATGAGTATAGCATAATAAAGGCCTCCTAATAAATATCTTGCCACTCTCTATTCATCTCTAAAGTAGAACTAATATTTTTAAACGCAAATCTGAAAATGCATTGTTCCTATTAGAATTGTTAAATGATCACTCATTATCAAATGATAAAATCCAAACTCTGCCTAGAATTAAAAACCCTCTATAGTCAGTATTTCTCTCAATATTTTTTGCCTCAATTCTTAAAATTATCTTTCTTATACCTCAAGACACACAGATCAGTTTACTTGCTGTCATCTATGTTTGACCTGCTGCTCACCAGCTCCCAAAGGTTGTCCAGACTGTATGAATATACCCATTCAATCCATCTTCCAGGACTGAGGCCCAAGGATGCCCTCCTCCATGCATGTTTGACCACTCATTGTCAACAGAGGTGCCTCCCCCATACTGCTCACAGATGTAGACTTGTATCTCCTTTGTTCCATTCTTCTGTCTACCTTACATTATAGCTTTATAAATTTTATATATTCTTCTGTCTCACCAGCTTCAAAAACTCTACTGTCACTCTTATTCAGTCCCTGCTATGCTATGCTTAGTGCTGGGCTTGTCCAGGAGAGGTATCGATAAGTCACTTTCTGAGTTTTGGACTCTTTGTTGTAAACTGGAGATGCTAGGAAATTTACCTAATGGGAATATGAACAGCCGAAAGTAAACAGTTATAAAATCTTTCAGGACCAAAAGCTTTTGCAACTCTGAGGTCTAAAGCTTCTCTACACCCCTTCTTTTTCTGGTTGTCAATTGTATAAATGAGTAAGTATACCAATTCATAGTCTAGTTTGAGAGACTCCTAAGGAAATATAACAGTTCAATTACTCAAAAGTTAAGAAATACAGGAAAGATTTTTAGGAGAGAACAAAAGAGGGGAATTTGCAATATTCTAAGGCAACTTTCCATCTGCCTTTGCTTCTCCATCTGCACTCAGAAATCTGCTACCCTTCTTTCTCAGAATACATTTTTTTTTCTTTATTGCAGATTCTGAGGATCTCTTTGTTTGGCCTACCTGCAGTCTTCCACTGTTTTTTTTTTTTTTTTTTTTTTTTTTTTTTTTTTTTTTTTTTTTTTTTGGCCTCTGTATGCAATATAAGGATACCTCTGATTTGGAGTATTTGAGCACTAAATAGGGTCCTGCCAAGTGCCTTCTAAAACAGAGTAAGTGCATTTATATACCCCTTGATATGAGAGTTTTCTGAAAAATGTATGTGGTGCTTATTCACACCAAAGCATCTACGTACAAAGTATAGCCTGACAGGGTATCTTTTCTGAAAAAGCAATGTGTGAAGCAGAAAGCATGGTGGAATTTCAGAAACCAAGAGCAACAGATAGAAAGCAGAGCACTGGAATGGTAATGGAGATGAGCACATGCAGAGAACAAAGGAAGCTGACTCAGATTAGGGGCAACCTTTCTTCTGGTTGCCATATTGTAGCACTCAGGAATTTCTAAGCTGGGACAGAAGTGACTTAGGGCCTGAATTTGAAGCATCTGATACTCCAACTTACCTCCCTGAAGGAGTTCTAGGTATGCAAGGTGCAGAGGAAAAAGAGCAGCACTAGAGATCCTGCATGCTCTACTTATATTCCCTAGTTCCCTCTGCCAAAACTCTGGCCTCAGCAACATATGACGGCATCCAGTCCCTTAAGCTGTTCTCAGCTCAGGTGCCCATGGACTCCTGGGAATATGGAGCATCTACAGTGCTCCACTCCTCCCTGACTTAGTGTTTCATTGCCCATAAGGAGTATGCCAGAGTAGGAATGATCAGAACTAGAAGGAATCTGCAAGAATGTCGTATCTAGCCCTTCATTTCACAGAAGCAATTATAGCCTAGAAAGAGAAAGAGACATCTCAAATCTATACAGCTTATTAGTCACAGAATATTTAAACCTAGGTCTTCTAACTCAGTTTATGGTCTTGCCACTATACAACTATAATAAATATCCATAAAAATGCTTAAGTTTGTAGAGTGCTTAAGTACCATATAATTTAATTCCAGTATTTGAATTTATTAGGACATATAAAATTCTCACCTGGGTCATCTGTAAAATTGACCCCAAGCATGACCAGAAGCACTGGTACACTGTCGGTGACCACACACACACTGTGATTATAGGTCATATTATAGAATATATTTGCCCTCATTAAGAAGGTGTTGAGGACATTGCACTGTGCTACCTTCATCACAAATGTTTATTGAATTCCTACTAGGAAGATAACAGAGATAATATGGGTTAGTTGATAAAGTTGGAGCTAGATGGACTTGAGTTTGAGTCGAGGTTCCACCATTTGCCTTGAGAAAGATTTAACCCACATAGAGCTTAATGTTTTCACCTGTAAAATAGGTAACAATCATACTTTATCACAGACTAATTGGGATAATTAAATAGCACATAAAATCATTTAGCTTATTGGCTGCCCTATAGCACTTAATGGATGTTAGTGATTATGTTTAAGTCCAAACATTAAGTCCTGAAAGTAAAACAGCTGGGAATGGATATTGTCTTAAGAGTACAGAATAATAAGGATACATATTTAAAATAGCTTGAACAATTTATTTCTGGGGAAACACTAGTAGGCATATCTGGAAAGCATCGTCCTTAGTAACAGGACACTCATACTTGAACCACATCAGGAAGCATGCGAGGGAGTTGGCTTTAGAAAGAACCTCTCACATATCTAATGTTCATCTGAGACTAACCAAGAGGAAAACTCAGTAGCTTTTCAAAAATCACATTCATAGAGAAATCAGACCAAAAGATTCACTGCATAGCCTAATAAACTCCTAGGTCTTCTTACAGTCATACTGATTTTAATGGGAAAAGGTCAGAAAATCACCCAAGCCCTGATTAATACACAGAGATTTATCAGAATTCTGTATCCATTGTTACTTTGTCATAAGTTTCTCCCTTATGAAAAAAGGAAACAAAAGAAACTATTTATGGCAAGGTCACAATCCCTACTCTCAAATTCTATAGTATAAGGGGTATGTTAACACAAGTTAGTATAAATTAAGACATTTAGTCAATATTAGACACAATTTTAGTCATGAAATTGTACAGATCACTATGTACACTAATTCAGAGTCTAGTTTGGGAGACTCCTAAGAAAATATCACAGAGTTCAGTTAACAAAAAGTTAAGAGATACAGGGATGATTTTTGGGGAGAACAAAAGAGGGGAGTTTGCAACATTCTAGAGCAGTCTGAGAAAAGGTCCAAATGCACGTAACAGTTTTGTTTTTTTTTGTTTTTACTTGACTCTCAAAGAATGAACAAATATTATTGATATGAGTGTGGTAGACAGAATGACTCCCAAAAGACGACTGTATTTTATCTATACTCATATATGAATATGTTATGTTTCATGAAAAAAGAGACTTTGCAGATAAATTAAGATGGTGGACCTTAAGATATGTTTTTTTCTTTTTCTCTTTTAGATGATCTGGTTGAATTTAATCTAATCACACGAGTCATCAAAAGCACAGAACTTTCTCAGGCTGGAAACAGAAAGATGTGGCAGATAAGTCAGAAATCTAAAGCATTAGAGACCCTCAACACACGTTACTTGAAGACACCAAATAAAGCACAAGAAATAACGTGGGCAGCTGCAGTAATGTGGTTAGGAGCAAAGGCCAAATGTCATCTGATACCCAGCAAGAGGATGGAAACATTATCCTACAATCAAAGAGAAACAAAATGAACCACGAACCTAAATGACCTTCAAGCAGATTCTTCCCCAGTGCTCCCTGTAAGGAATGCAGCCCTGCCAACAGCTTGATTTCAGCCTTAAGAAAGCCTCAGCATTTAGGGTTCTAGGTTTCTGATTTACAGAAACTACAATATAAGAAGTTGTTTTAGGCTGACCACTGTGTAATTATTTCTTACAGCAGCAACAGGGATTAATACGGTGAGCCTTAGGCAAAAGAAACAGGACAGGCAGAGAACAAAGGATTATTCCTGACAGATAACAGCAACACAAACACAGGTATGAAGGTTTGAAAATGATATTGGAAAAGCAGAATTAGTGGCAAGACAAGGAGGATTCATAAGGCTTAAAGAGTGAGTTATCATTTTATGAGGCCAACATCATCCTGATACCAAAGCCTGGCAGAGACAAAAGAAACAGGACAGGCAGAGAACAAAGGATTATTCCTGACAGATAACAGCAACATAAACACAGGTATGAAGGTCTGAAAATGATATTGGAAAAGCAGAATTAGTGGCAAGACAAGGAGGATTCATAAGGCTTAAAGAGTGAGTTTAATGTATGAGGCCAACATCATCCTGATACCAAAGCTCTGGCAGAGATATTAATGAAAAAGAGAATTTTAGACCAATATCCCTGATGAACATCGATGCAAAATCCTCACAAAATACTGGGCAAAAACCGGATTCAGCAGCACATCAAAAAGCTTATCCACCATGATCAAAGTGAGCTTCATCCCTGATGCAAGGCTGGTTCAACATTTGCAAATCAATAAACATAATCCAGCATATAAACAGAACCAAAGACAAGAACCATATGATTATCTCAATAGATGCAGAAAAGGCTTTTGACAAAATTCAACAGCTCCTTCATGCTAAAACGCTCAATAAATTCGGTATTGATGGAACGTACCTCAAAATAATAAGAGCTTTTTATGACAAACCCACAGCCAATATCATACTGAATGGGCAAAAACTGGAAAAATTCCTTTTGAAAACTGGCACAAGACAGGGATGCCTCTCTCACCACTCCTATTCAACATAGTGTTGGAAGTTCTGGCTAGGCAATCAGGCAAGAGAAAGAAATCAAGGGGATTCAGTTAGGAAAAGAAGAAGTCAAATTGTCTCTTGCAGATGAGATATGATTGTATAATAGAAAACTCCATTGTTCCCAGCCCCAAAATCTCCTTGGCTGATAAGCAACTCCCCAGCAAAGTCTCAGGATACAAAATTAATGTGCAAAAATCACAAGCATTCGTATACACCAGTAACAGACAAACAGAGAGCCAAATCAGGAATGAACTTCCATTCACAATTGCTTCAAAGAGAATAAAATACCTAGGAATCCAAATTACAAGGGATGTAAAGGACCTCTTCAAGGAGAACTACAAACCACTGCTCAGTGAAATCAAAGAGGACACAAACAAATGGAAGAACATACTATGCTCATGGATAGGAAGAATCAATATCATGAAAATGGCCATACTGCCCAAGGTTATTTATAGATTCAATGCCATCCCATCAAGCTACCAATGAGTTTCTTCACAGAATTGGAGAAAACTGCTTTAAAGTTCATATGGAACCAAAAAAGAGCCTGCATCTCCAAGACAATCCTAAGTCAAAAGAACAAAGCCGGAGGCATCACGCTACCTGACTTCAAACTATACTACAAGGCTACAGTAACCAAAACAGCATGGTACTGGTACCAAACAGAGAGATATAGACCAAATGGAACAGAAATATCCTGTAGCTGGCCACCACACATCTACAGCCATCTGATCTTTGACAAACCTGAGAGAAACAAGAAATGGGGAAAGGACTCCTTATTTAATAAATGGTGCTGGGAAACTGGCTAGCCATAAGCAGTAGAAAGCTGGAAACTGGATCCTTTCCTTACTCCTTATACAAAAATTAATTCAAGATGGATTAGAGACCTCTTAAACAAGAAGACCTAATACCACAAAAAACCCTAGAGGAAAACCTAGTAGTACCATTCAGGACATAGGCAGCGGCAAAGACTTCATGTCTAAAACACCAAAAGCAACAGCAGCAAAAGCCAAAATTGACAAATGGGATCTCATTAAACTAAAGAGCTTGTGCACAGCAAAAGAAACTTACCATCAGAGGAACAGGCAACCTACAGAATGGGAGGGAAAATTTTTGCAATCTACCCATCTGACAAAGGGCTAATATCCAGAACCTACAAAGAACTCAAACAAATTTATAAGAGAAAAACAAACAACCCCATCAAAAAGTGGGCAAAGGATATGAACAGATACTTTCAAAAGAAGACATTTAT